CGGCCACCCCGGTTTCCCGCCCCCTCCCGCCAGGATGACGGTGGCGTCGGCCGACAACGCGGACGAGAGCGCCACCTTGCCCGGTCACCCGCAGGAGGACGAGTGCGACGGGCTCGAGTGCTGCGAACGCGTGGTCATCAACGTGTCGGGGCTTCGCTTCGAGACGCGGCTCAAGACCTTGGCGCACTTCCCGGACACGCTGCTGGGGAACCCCAAGAAGAGGATGCGCTACTTCGACCCGCTGCGCAACGAGTACTTCTTCGACCGCAACCGGCCCAGCTTCGACGCCATCCTCTACTACTACCAGTCGGGCGGCCGGCTGAGGCGGCCCGTCAACGTTCCGCTGGACATGTTCTCCGAGGAGATCAAATTTTACCAGCTGGGCGCCGAGGCCATGGAGAAGTTTCGCGAGGACGAGGGCTTCATCCGCGAGGAGGAGCGGCCCTTGCCGGACAAGGAGTTCCAGCGGCAGATCTGGCTGCTCTTCGAGCACCCGGAGAGCTCGGGCCCGGCGCGGGGCATCGCCATCGTGTCCGTCATGGTCATTCTCATCTCCATCGTCATCTTCTGCCTGGAGACGCTGCCCGAGCTGAAGGAGGACGCGGGCGAGCGGCGGCGGATGGCCGTGGCGGCGGCGGCGGCGGCCCACAATGGCACGGCCGCCCGCCGCGGCGGCGACATCCTCGCCGACCCTTTCTTCATGGTGGAGACCCTGTGCATCATCTGGTTCTCCTTCGAGCTGCTGGTGCGCTTCTTCGCCTGCCCCAGCAAGACGGCCTTCTTCCGCAACATGATGAACTCCATCGACGTGGTGGCCATCATCCCCTACTTCATCACGCTGGGCACCGAGCTGGCCGACGGCTCGGACGACAAGGGCGGCGGAGGCGGCGGCGGCGAACAGGCCACGTCGCTGGCCATCCTGCGCGTCATCCGGCTGGTGCGCGTCTTCCGCATCTTCAAGCTGTCGCGCCACTCCAAGGGGCTGCAGATCCTGGGCCAGACGCTCAAGGCCAGCATGCGGGAGCTGGGCCTACTCATCTTCTTCCTCTTCATCGGCGTCATCCTCTTCTCCAGCGCCGTCTACTTCGCCGAGGCCGAGGAGAAGGAGTCCTACTTCACCAGCATCCCCGACGCCTTCTGGTGGGCGGTGGTCTCCATGACCACGGTGGGCTACGGCGACATGTACCCGGTCACCATCGGCGGCAAGATCGTGGGCTCGCTGTGCGCCATCGCCGGCGTGCTGACCATCGCGCTGCCCGTGCCCGTCATCGTCTCCAACTTCAACTACTTCTACCACCGCGAGACGGACGGCGAGGAGCAAGCGCAGCTGCTCCAGTTCAGCCAGCGCAACTTGGCGGCCGAGCGGGACGACGCCTCCTCGCTGCTCAGCAAGTCCTCCGAGTACGCCGACGCCCCCGACAACAGCATCGACAACTTGCGCGAGGCCACCCTGCGGACCGCCAACTGCGTCGACGCCGCCGCCAAGATGCTGACCGACGTGTGAGACTCCCGCCCCGCCGCGGAGCCGCTTCCCCAAAAAGGCGCTCGGCGCCGGGCAAACTTTTGTCCGTCTCAAAAAGAAAATAAGTCAGACGAGACTGGCATCACCGACTGTTGAGCAAAAAAGTCGATACAAAATTGTCAACGGAGAGTTTTGTATTTTATTTTTCATCGGTCCATTGAGAGGAATTAAACAAATAAAAAAAAACAAGCCAACGCATCCCGAAAAAATAGATCAGCATTTATTTTTAGGTCGTGTCAACGTGATTGATTTGCCGATTTGGTCAAATGGAAAATTGCGCAATATTTGTGTTTGACTTGTTTCTCTTCCATAAATCATGAACCGATTCTTTGAGGGCGGGAATGAGAAAAGAAATGAACGCATCCACAAAATCATGACAGTGGGGCGATTCATGAGCGAACCGTTTCAAACGTGGATGTCAAAGGTGCATCCCAAAATCTTGTCTTTCTATTTTTGACATTGACATGAAGGCCGTCAGCCGCGTGTGTATTTGATATGAATGAAAACACGTTCATCAAATGGAATGAAGAATACAAGTGAAAAATGTAAGCTGTAGTTTTGTCATTTTTTTTAGATTGTCGTTAGGACTTTCTATGGAAATGATCGGGACCTCGCGGCGGGCCCTAAAAGATTCAACGGGGGGAAAAAAATCATATGAAATGCATCTGAACGGGAGACTCTTTGGAATCGTGCGTAGATTCGCGGGAACTCGTTGTTGGTATTTGGGAGGAGGCGTGCCCCCCCCACCTGCCACTTTCGTCAACACGCTCCCTCGTCTTTAACAGCCCGCTAGGTCCAGTGCCTTGACCCCGGATCTCGCCCCAAGTGCCTTTACTGTGACGTCTTTCGATGGATGCGCCTCTACGGCTGGTCACAGACCGAAGACTCCAAATAGTTTTGCTCTCTGTGGACATAGAGCCGTTCGCCCTCCCGCAACTCAAGGCAGGCGCTGGCTGGTCTTTCCTTCCTCGATGTAAATTGTCGTGGCGCTGAGCGGTGTTCAAACGACACTTGGAATAAACTTGCGGATGAGCCACTCGTCTTCTTCTTCCTTCCCGTTTGCGCTCCGGGCTACCAAGTCAAAGACGAGGAGGAGGAGGAGAAGCCCGAAATAGTCGAGCGCGCCAAGCAGCCAGCCAGAAGGCACCGTGATCTCCGCGAGGAACGCGAGCGGCGCCAAGAGGGGAAGGGGAAGAAATGAAGCCCGACTCAAAATGAAAATGTCAAAGTCATTGTCGCTTTGAGTCACGTCGCGTAGACATCAATTCGTGCCGGCTGAACTTCTTCACGTCACGTCGACTCGTTTCTTCGGCTGAAGCAAAGCCATCGTGACAAGGCGTCCTCGTCGAACGGCCGTTGCCCTTGACGCAAATCTTCCTTTGGAATCTCCCTGAAAGTGGGGCCCGCGTGCCAAGCGCTCTCCAAAGTGGGAACAGACTCACTCTGGAGTTGTCTCCGCGAAAGTCGACCTCAAAGAGACACTGCTCGAAATGAGGAAAGCCTCGTTTTCCCACAGTGGCTTGCGATGAAATATTATTCGGCACCCAAGAGGTCGCGGCGAGCGTCGGGCAAACGGACACGTCCCGGCATCGTTTTGTGAGCGCGAGCACTCAACGAGAGAGACGGACGGCTCGAGCTCGAGCTCGGCGTGGACTCGTGCCGTCGCGAGACCGATGTTCGGCGACAGTTGCGCACGTCTTCGTCTCTCACGTCCAACCCGGAGCAAGCCCGCACGCTTGTTCGCGCGAGGAAGGATTTCGGGGACGTCCTCTGAGCGCGAGTGGCAGTAACCATGGCAACAAGCGCCTCACGCAGTGGCAGCCGTTCTCCACGCTCGCGATTTTCAGTCAGTCTCGGGCGTCCACTGAACAAGTGTCCGTCGAGTGAATGCTGCCCTCGCGTGGACGTTTTGAGCGACCGCAGCCTGCCTCTGGCTCGGGATTCAAACCTCGGCTCGGTCACTCTGGCAAGTTGGAATCGAGCAACCGCTCTTTCTCTTGAGCCGCCTTGAAATGGATTCAACCTCTCCTCGGTCGCACTGTCTGGATAGATGCGCGAGCTTTCATTCAAATATTTTATTGACATTATTTACACGAGGCAAATGACAGCCAGTCACCACAGTTCGTTTAGACAACAACTTGCGTTGTTTACGGCAATGTAAAAATGAAAGGGAAGGGGGCGAAGGGGGGAGGCTTTATGTACAAATTATTTTTCTTTTTTTTAAATCACGGAAATTATTTTTTTGGAAACCACTGAATGGGTAATCATCAAAGCTTCACTTTTTCGCGTGTGATCAATTGAAGAAATCTAAAGTGATCATCCGCCGCAATGAAAAACAATTGAAATAGTGGAGAGCGAGCTCGCTGCCTATTTTAATTGGCAATTTAAAATTTGGAACCTCCACTCCCCCGCTCCCCCAAAAATCAATTCACAAATATGGAATACGGAAAATACGGGAGCCTGGGGGAGTTTAAAAAAAAATCAACTTAAGATAATTTTGAAAATAAAACAGATCTATGTTTTCACCCTATGCTCGCCCTGGTAATGTATGTCTACGCCTATTACTTGAAAACAATGTCCGCTCGCTCTCAAGCAGGCTGTCCCGAGACGTCACGTGTTTTTGATTGATGTTTCTCGGCGTCTTGGGAGCGGAAGTCCCTCCTCCCACCGCAGTGTAGACCAGCGCCGCGATCGTACGTCACTTCCTCTTTTCCTGCGGCTGTGAGCTCGACACCATGAAGGCGTCCGGCACTGTACGTAAAAATGTCTCTTTTCTTCTCGCCGGCCTACCGCGCGCACCTTCCGCGGGTCGATGTCGACGTCTAAGTAAACGCGCGTCACGTTGGTCCGCTCGGGTGACCGCAAATGTGGTCGCAAGTGGACCGTTTTCGTCTTGTTCACGCGGTAGCGTTGGCTCGCAACATGGCGTCGGTCGGCGGCACCATGTGGACGACGTCGCGGTCGCGATACTCGCAGACGGCTCCGATGGGAAGTCGCTCCTTGGCTTTCCTCCCGTCGTTTCAAATCGGTCATTCGGATCGTGCGAGCGCTTTTGGGCTGCGAACGCAGCGCCGAGCGAACCGAATGCGACCGAAGCCGATTGCGCTAACCGCGAACGAGCCTTCACCCCGCGTCGTTTCGCGTTTGTGTCGCGTTCGGGCAAAGCCCCGACTGGACGTTTTCGAAGACGTCTCGAAAAGAGGATCGAAACGGGGGCTGCGAGAATAGCTCTCCGCTCCGACGCGAGGTGGAACGTTTGGAACCGCCGTTCGTGTCCAACTGCGAGTGAGGTCTGAATTTCTGGCACTTGGCAAAATTATTTTCAGGAACAAATTCCCACTTGGCTTTTTGTTTCTTTACATGTCCCCCACGCCCCACCAAAAAAAAAAAAAAGTACTAGCGAGGCAACAACTTGCATGTCAAGCGTGAGCATTGTACGTTGTTGTTGGATTGATTTGCTGGTCGGGACACGTCACTGGCATGGGTCGATCCCCAGATTCTGTTGTCCATGTTGACCCATTGGCGCGTTTTAGCTTCCTGCCGCCCAAAGAAAAACCAACGCGCCCACCAACCGTTTGTTTTTCTCCATGCAGATTGTCAGACAAGTTTGATTTGAGGCAACGTGTGATGATTTTATTGATCGAGAGTGACTCCATGTGGGGTTGACACCTTTGGAGAAGTTTGCAGCCAAACCCAAAGGTCACACGCGCGACAGTGGTGTGACCGAGCGTGGCTTGCGCACAGCAACACTTGCCTTGTCGCCTTTCTCGGTTGCTTTTGTACCTTTGAAAGTGAAACCAAGGCCTCACACGCGAGCCGCGCGCCCTCACCTGCCAAGGCTCGACCGTGATGTGGGTTTGGTGTGTTTTTTTGGGGGCAGCTGCGAGAGTACAAGGTGATCGGGCGTCTGCTGCCGTCGCCCAAGAACCCGACCCCGCCCCTGTACCGCATGCGCATCTTCGCCCCCAACCACGTGGTGGCCAAGTCCCGCTTCTGGTACTTTGTGTCCCAACTCAGGAAGATGAAGAAGGCGTCCGGCGAGACCGTCTACTGCGGACTGGTGCGTATTGCCCGTTCCCCGGACAGCCCCAAAAT